TTTCTGTGCCTGGTTAGGAAATTATGAGGAGAGTGGGGAAATTCTTGGTGTGTAAGAGACAAGAAAAGTGGAGACAGTACGAGCATCTTAGAGAAGAAGGGGATGGGGTGTATAAGACACTGACAGCAATGTGGGACATTGTTGACAGTGGCACTGTAAAGAATGAATCTACTTCTGCTGCTTCTACTTATACTGTACTTGCAGAAATAATATTTCTGTCCTATTCTAATCCAAAAGCACAGATTCTGTTAGTGCTGCAAAGTGAAAGTAGTCACAGCCTGTGATGTTTGCTCCAAAAAAACACAAGCACCAATGACAGGGAAAACCAGCATGGCTTGAACAATATGTTAAATAAAATGGGTTGTTACACACTAAATGTTTAATTGTGGCTTTTACTTTACTTTTCAGCGATAACTTAAATAGCCTTGATGTTTTTAAGGGGTTTCTTTTTAGGTGTAAGAATGAAGGTGATAGGAAGGTGCAAGCTGGGTGCTCGGCAAAATCAGGCTATTAAAATTCACATGCACAGAAGGTTAAGGCAAAAAAAAATTAACGAAACATAATGCATTAGGAAGAAGAGTTCTGATTTATTGCTTGTTTGGTGCTTTTTGTGTTCTTTTTAAACCACATAGCACAGGCCAGGCACAGTAAAATACTAATTTATGTTACAATAGAATAAAGTGGTAAGGAGAGTATGCAATTGTGACTTGTAATAATGCATTTTAATCTGCATATCTTACATCAACTTTTTGACAGAACCTCCATGACAAGAAAGAAACCTGTGACATGAAAAGTTTAATTTCTTCTAATAGAACATTAATTATCTTTTAATATGTATGACATTCGTTTTAGACCTTTTGTTTTTAGCCAATATTTTCTCAGCTTCTATCTTTTGATATTGCAGATGTGGTAATAAGCATATGACAATACTTGCAAAAATTTATTTCAGGATTTGGTTGTTTTTTTAATTCCTTAATATTTCCTGGTTTTTTTCCAGCTTCATGTTGAACATGAGCCTTGTTATGATCATTGAGAATGTGAAGTTGGCCCGTGAATATGCCTTACTGGGAAATTATGACTCTGCAATGGTCTACTACCAGGGAGTTCTTGACCAAATGAATAAGTATCTGTACTCTGTGAGAGATACCTACCTGCAACAGAAGTGGCAGCAGGTAAATAGCACTTTTCTGGGATGTTTTGAGGGAAAAACATTGAAGTAGCAAGAACTGCCTATCTTATTGTAAAAAAAATACAAAAAGACTTACCCCATTCTCTCATAAACTAGTGTTGTTATATATAGGCTTCTTTTTTTTGTGATGTAGACTTGTTTAAATCATCTTTATGACTTCTTTGTCTGTCATTGCCAGAAGAGTCAATGGAATGTGGCTCTGAGGAGCCAGTGCACTGTCTGTTCTGACAGCTATGCTGATGAGTGCCCGTTACGCTCAAGATTTTTAGCCTGGTATCATTCAGGTCTTATTTCCCTCAATCTTTTAGTGGGATTAAGGTCCTTAATAGCAAGTTGATCATTTGTCCTCAGCAAAAGCCCTCTTTTTTTCCATTGATTCCATTTCTAACTCTTCCTGTTAGGTTGATACTTTTGATTGATATTTACCAGTTTAATCTGCAAAATTTATCAAAAGTCTCTTTGATGTTAAGTCGAGAATCTCTTTCTTTGTTCTTTAAACGTGCTGAGGAAGGCAGAAAAACTTCCTTAATATCTAATGTGCGTAATTCTTGTTTATTGAAGTAGAATTAGGTAGCTCGTTAAACCCTGTGGAATCCATCCAGGCATTACAATGGCTTGAACAGAGGACTGTTACAAACTTATTTCCAATGTGCATAATCTGCCTTTTTTTTTTTTTTTTTTTAAATCAGGTTTGGCAGGAGATAAGTGTGGAAGCTAAGCATGTGAAAGATATAATGAAAACACTGGAGAGTTTTAAACTAGACAATACTCCACTGAAAGCCTCACAACAAGAATTACCAGCTCATGATGCAGAAGTCTGGTCTTTGCCAGTACCTGCTGAACGTAGGTAAGAGGAAACCTGAAGACTTAAATTAATATTTATCAGGACAAAGTGTACTTTGACTTCAGCCTGTTGTGGTGTAATTTTTGTTCTTGAACTTAGATGTGTAACACTCACACCAGCAGCTTGACACCATTTGTGGTGAAGGAGGTGTCATTTTGAGGCAGTCTAATCCAGAATGTTCTGGAGGTTTTATCTTACATAGTCCTGACTAATGTCAAGCTTCTTTCCCCTACACACTGTTGCCTGAGTTGTTTGGTTTTTCCTTTTGAGTTTTTATTTCACTTTTGTTTCTGTTGGCATTAATTAGCTGGTTCAAGATGCTAAAGACATTGTTCTGTGTGTATAGTGGGTTTTTGTTTGTTTGTTTGGGTTTTTTTTGGTTTTTTTTTTGTCTTCTTTTTGAGTAGCTATCTGACCTGGTTCACAGGAGGTTCTAACTCATGCCAGTGGTAGCATGAAGGAGGGGACAGGAGTAAATGCAAAGCAGACACAGAACTGTGCAATTTGACAGAAAGTTAGATTACTTTAGCTGTATTGTCAAATTATTGTTTGTTTGTTAATTTTTTCTAAGCTCCATATTACTTCTACTGATGAAATATACAAAGGAAGGCACTTGTTTTAAGCAAGTGGACCCTGAGCTCATGGCACAGGGAAAATGGTTTTTTAGTCATTATCTAAAAATACCTGTCTTGTTTCTGGCATACAGATTTTTATTTTGAGCAAAATGTCTTTTCAGTTTGTAACCAGTTGATTTGGTTATGTAGTGCTCACCAGTGGCTTTACACTGAGGCTTTTTGCATATGTTGCAACTAATTAGACCTTCGCCAGGACCCAGGAAGCGTCAGTCTGCTCCTTGCAGTGATTGCAGAGGTCACAATAATCGTGTAAGTGCAGCTGTCAGAGGCTCTCACCGTCCATCCTCTCGAAACCCCAATGATAAAGGGAAGGCAGTCCGCAGCCGGGAAAAAAAGGATCAGCAAAACAAAGGAAAAGAGGAAAAGGTAAACTTGCAAATAGCTTCATGGAGTTGAGAAACTCAGTTGTACTCTCTTACTACTGAGTGTATTACAAACTGACATGCCTATAAAATGTTTCTTCTGTTCATGTCAGTGTGCTGATTTGAATCTCGCCTTGTAAGATGTCTTTTCTTTGTGCGTGGTGTTGGTTATGGATTAATTAAAAATGAATGGTAGTTCTAGGAGGTTGGGATCTGGTAGATGTATCTAAAGGTGGGTCCCAAGAGGATGTTTCCA